ACATGCTCATTAATATCAGAAAACAGAACATAAAATGTTGCCTGGTCTGATAAGTCTCTGTTTCTCCTGTGACATTTGAATGGCAGGGTTAGAACGTGCTGTAATGGATGTGCAGCCAACAAATCTGCAGCAACTCTGTGATGCTATCGTGTCAAACTGGACCAAAGTCTCTGGGGAATGTTTCCAGCACCTTGTTGAATCTGAGCCATAAAGAACTAATGAAGGCAGTTCTGAAGACAAAGGGGGTCCAACCTGGTACTTGAGTCAGTGAGTAAATAAGAGAGGACTGAGCTGTAGACCGTCTGAGAAAATGCTGACCTCTGCCCCATGACGAGCTTTATTGTAGCCATCTAGCACCGTGTCGATGACAGAGCTCTGGTTTTCTCTGAATATGCAGTGGGAATTTCGTAGCTGCAGAAGCCAGGTCCGAAATCTTTTTCCAGTAACAGCGGTGGACGTTCCTCCAAGTTCACGAAAAGGAAAATCTAATGACAAACAGTTGAAGATGTTGCTGTAGCAGTCAGGAGGAATTAATCTGGATTCATGGCAAAACAAAACAAATTGTAACAGAGAAGCTTACCGGCATCTCTGATGGCATCAAGTGCTTTCATTCTATACAAATAGTCACAGGAACCTGGAACATGTGCACACACACACAGACTACTTAGTGCACGGGCATGGAAACTATTTACATGAATAGCTTCAGGAGTGGTGCGTGTTATGTGTGTGTTTGTTTGCTCCTCTTACCAGACTGTTCTCTCTGCATTAACCGGTCATCATCTGGAGACAGCAGACGAGGCTCAAAGTGGATTTTCTGGACCAGGTTCAGCTTGGCTTCAATTTCTTGTCTCAGCTCCTGGAACAAAGACACAATTCTTCAGCACAAACACAAAAAACATTGGAACACACTTGCATTATAACAGTGTGCGTTTCACCTTTGGTGCGTTGTGGCCAAGGGGTACATGTGGTCCTCTTCGAGACTTCATGGCAAGTCGCATAATTTGTCTTTTGACAAAGATGAACAGCAAGACAAAAATCTGAAAGAAAGTTAAATGTTAGATGGATGTCTGAGTTTCCCTTTTTTTAAAAAAAACATTATTTCCATGGCCAAGCAGCTCCTGTAGGTGGCACTGTTTTTTTGTCCATATAGTGTAAATAAATGCAAGTCCTAGGGTTAAATGTGTCTTTGTTTCATTGTTTTGTTGCGTAGGGGATAAATTGAGGGTAAATGGCAGCATATTCTTTAGAACTAAACAGAAATGAGACCGAAATATTTGGTTTGGACCAATATCGAGAATATCAATATCAAGAACCAGTTTTCTACAATAACCCGTTCTCGATTAATGACCCAGTAGTCCAACTCCTTGGAATTGTTAGTCTGCCTGCCTATCACTCCCTCTTACCGGTTCCACTTGCACTTGTGCTGCAATCAGGTGATTTCATTTCATGTGTTTGAAGAGGACAATAATGGCACAGTCTGCAGCGTGGATATGGTTTGTACTGGTTTTTATCTTAGCCTCTACATCAGTGACCTTCTACAAGTGGCTCATGTCAGTAATATGCAAATGTATGCAGATGATACTGTCACATATACACTATGCAATTGCAATTGCAATGCTCATGGAGGGGTTTGACAAGTCCTGTCTTACTCTTAATACAAGTAAGAATAAAGGAAGGTCTTTTCAGACCAGAAATTTTCACTAAGGGTTAGAAGACTGAAATTGTGAGTGAGTTTGAATATCTGGGTATGATTTAAATTTCAGTTTTAAGTCTAATATAAAGCAATTGATCAAAACTATTACATATAATATGATAAAGCCTGCCTCTCAGTAGAAGCTGGTAAGACCTTCATGCATGCCATGATTCTTTGTCATATGTTAAACTATATGTTAGAAACAAGCTTGGGAAACAGTCACTAAACCACTGAAGGGACAGCAGATGCAAATTAGCTTTAAGATATTTCTGGAACAATGCATCACATGGTAACATTTATGTTAATATTGTACATGGTGCCTTTTCAAATAAAGTCAGTTAAAAAAAAAAAGACCTCTCAGGTCATCAGGTGCAGATCTTTTAAATGTTCCCAGAATTAGATCTAAGTGTGCTGAGAACATGAGGGTGCTTTCAGTTACTATCACGCTGTTCTTTGGAACAAGCTGCCTGCTGATCTGAGGTGAATGACATCTGTGCATACAGTCAACAACAGACACAAAATCTTTTTATTCTCAGACGCTTCCACTCAATAGCTGTGTGTGTGTGTGCATGCACATGTACATTAACTTGTATTTTACCTCATTGTAAACGTTTATTTTGCTGTTTTCACTGCCTTAAGACATCTTAAACCGACATATGTTTTCATGTTTCACTTAAACATGCTATATAAATTAAATTCCATCAACATGAGTCACGCCTGGGCCCTGCAGTATGCTCCATTGGCTAATTGTGGTTTTATAAATAAATAGTTTTGTTTGTTTTTTGTTGTCTTCATTTCTTTGCCACAGTCCCTGAGCCAGGTTGTGACACCTCCAAAGGGTAAATGTTGTCAGTCATCACTCTAAATCCTTAAATCACACAGTGTAGTGTCGACATTTTTTAAACATTACAATAATTATGAATGTTACTATGATTAATCGCCCAACTACAGGCACCAGAGGAGAAATTGGGCTGCAGTGATATTTATTAAACAGATTTTACACACTATTAGTACCTTTCAGTGGAGTACAACATGGTTGAGGGATCCAGGTGTTCAAACTTGTAATAACAGCTTTATTTGTGTTTAACAGCAGATTATCAAGTAGAAATGAGTCTTTGGATAAAGTATCAACCACTGCCAGCCTCTGATGAGGAATGAGGCACCTGTCCAAGCATCGCGATTACCTCTGTAACCCGGGACTGCGTTCATTGTTTCAGTTTGAATTAAACCAGCACAAACAACGTTAAACAAACTCACCAGACTGCCATAGGCCATCACAAGCACCACGTTAATTCTCGAAGGAAGCGAGTCGTTAAACATTTTGAAGATCTGCCGGTTTTCTTTTTACTTTGTTGTTATTTTAACTGAACTAACTGGATAAATGTCGATTCAAAGTGCGTCCAGTGCCCGGTACGTGTCTCATTTAAGAAGGCGTTTTCAAACCGCAAGCAGCCAACATTAAAGGAACAAAAGACAAAAACGGGGAAGTTGAGCGGACTAAAGTGCTTGTTGCTACATTTCGCTGCCTGATTTGTTGACTTCCGCGGTAGTCACGTGACCGGTACGGACAGGGGTGACGTCAGGTCTGACGTTGCCCCTATTGTGTGTGCATGTATTTATTAATTTTTTAAACTATATATTTACGGATGCTACTTTACTGCAAAGACTGTATAACAGAGTCATTGCTTCACACGTGTAAATAGGAGAAAAAAAACGCCTGTTCTTGTTTTATAATAAAGGAAGTTCAGCAATGTGTTTCTATTTTTCTTCCCCAAAAACAAAAACTTATAAGACTGGATATTTAAAGTCTTTATTGTCATCTTCTCCCCTTTTTCTCTGTCCTCTCCTGTTTGAAAAAATACCCTCTTCTTTGTTACCTTCATTATTTCTTCACTAAAATTTACTTTTTTGAAAGGAACTCAATATCAGACAAATCATAAAAATAAAAATAAAAACTGAAATGCTTTGTCAATTCAAGTCATCTCCATCTCCAGCTTTCAGCTTTTAGATTTTTCTCCTTCTTCATATTACATTTCTATCTTCCCTGACACTAAACGTCGTATGACCTACTTATAAAATACATTGTCCTTTCCCACAATGCTTCTGCAACACACAGTCTGTCAGTCCTACACCCTAAAGAATGAATTTCAAGCACTAGTGTGTGTCTGTGTGAGCTGAACTGTTATTTGCATCCATCCTGCAGAGACAGTGGGTGCTATTCTTCTGTCTGGAACAAGGGTGGGTGTCTGTGGAGTTGCATGGGGCTATTTACCCCTACTCACACACTTATCTTTGTCCTGAGAGGCACTATGCAAGCTACCAGCCCTCTGTCCGGAAGGCTGGTAATTGATTGGATCATTATGGTCCTAATTCTTATCCCAGGGTCTGTGTATGTAAGTTATTTATTTCAGCAGGCACACATAAACATCAAGACTTCTCTTATTTAGTTGTGCAGCAAGCTAGCGTGGTAACCACAGTTTCCTCTGTCTCAACGGAAGACAAGTAACAGTCACAGGTGCATGCAAAAAGGCGGCAGTAAGTAGATAGCCTCTTCATGAAAAACAAAACTGTAAGTAGCTGCGTTTTTTTTTTTAATGATTTTATACATTTATGTGTGCTTCCCTTTGTTTTAAAATTTGTAATAAAAAGGCTTTTTGTTCCCACAAACAGCTTGTTCTGTGAGAACAAAAATTATCAGCAATCGCAGATATTTTTCCCTTTAGTCAGCATTACAAACCCACTGACTCTCACCAAGTGTGTGTGTGTGGAGTGAAGCTCTGTTTTGTTGAACAGATGACATATGAGATGTGTTCTTATGGCAATATTTATCCCTGCTAGTATTCCTGGCTCTTTGTAATCTCTGGACCCAATTAAAGGTGCTCTGTTATTATGTATTTTGATACCTGCTCAGCCCAGATGATTGGACTCGGTTTTGCCTGAGGTGGGGTGACATTACAGGCCTTGTTTTAGGAAATGTCATTCTTGTACCGTTTCACACAATATCAAAACTGTATCTCATCTCCCTAAAGCTATAAAAGATGTTCATATCAAATGATTAGTGGGGTGTGTGTTTAAACGTGGGTAAACGTGTGTGTGTGCATTCCCTATCGAGGCGTTTGAAGGGTGACACATTGAACCTCAGTCAGGAATGTTACCCTGTGAGAATAAGGAAAAGAGGGAGAGAACAACAATAGGAGGGGGAGGAGAGAGAAAGACAGAGAGACACAGGGAGGAAGAAAAGGAGAGAGGACAAACCAGTGTGGCAGGTTTGCGTCACTGTACACACTCTATCATGCAAAGCTGATGGAAAGAGAAGCAGACAAAGAGTGAGAGAAGGGCAGTCAGGAGCGAGGAGCTGATGTCATTACATGGCGATGTCTTCATTACGAATCCGAGTTAACACAATGACCCAGGACAAGCACAGAAAACACACTTAAAGGAGGTAAGGTACCTGTTTTGTGAATATAGGAGCGGACTTTTAGTTGGCTAATTTGTAACTGTGTCATTGAGCAAATGTGTGTATTTTCATTTGATGTGAGGGTGCAATTGTTTCCTTCTTTCGGTTCAAAGGGGAGTTTAAAGTGAATGACTATGTGTTGCCCTGGTTACGCAGATGGGGCAAAATATAACAGGTGTTTCTGTAAACTGACTCTCAGGCTCACCTGCACTGGAAAGCACCTCCAGTGACTACCTAGAAGTGCCATGCTTTAGCCTAAACTAAACAAAGCACTGCATACTGTAAATCTACTCTTATGATATATAATTACAGGAAACCATCAGCTTGCAGAATTGATCCTTAATGACATTATGAATGATTAGATCTTCATTCAGACATGATTAGCGATCAAAGACGGTTATCATTGTTTTCATTGACTGTACGCACAGATAACCATGATGAGTCATTACCCCTCAGTAATGTTATCTGCAGGCTGTATTTAAATCAAAGTAAATCTGTGCTCTTATGACCGTTCGATTTGAACAAGCTGCTGTCTCTCTTTGACCACGAGACCGATACGTGCTGCAGAGATTGCTTTTGCTGAGTGGATTGCTGTTAGGTGAGTTTTACCAGTTTTTGGTTCAGGCTTAGCTGATGCTGACAGGTAACTTCAAGTATGTTGCCTATGTAAACATGGTGTCTCATACGTGTGTACAGCAGAGAACACTATCTGAGTCATACTGTGAGTCAGGGAGAGGACAGCAAGAACATGTTGCAAAATGAGCTTGGTGGCAGAGGTTTTTAAGTGAGTTGTTGTTTAGTTTTGATCTAATTTCTTAACATTTGTTAATGCTTTCTACCCGAATCAGTCTCCACATTTTATGTTTCCTGTCCTCTAACACTGTGAGATATTGTTGACCATTCCAAGTGGCCAAAGTGACCACAATCCACATCTCTACATTCCAGTCCAATCCATTCTGAGAATAAAATTTTGTGCATTTTTATGCTTGGCAGGCAATGGGAGCTGTTCAGTGAGGTCAAGCTGGGGAACTGGAGTCTCCTGTGGTCAAAACAAGAAGAAGAGCCAGTGGAGTCACCACTTCCAGGCCGCAAAAACCAGAGCACAATTAGGAATATCAAACTACTGCACTGAGGATGTCTGTCTGTGGAAGAATCTAATGAGAGGATTGTAACTGTGACACTATTTGTTTTTTACACGCCCAAAACGCGAGCCTCCTAGATGAACCGCTTCCAGAGTGCAATCTAAAAGACAGTCGCTTGGACTCCCAGAAAATATCAAGTTCACTCTTCCGCTCTTTTTTTGGGATCTGGCATTTGACAGGAGGTCATTAACTTTGTTTACTCTCAGACAATGGACTCGTCTCTGCTGCCCGCTTCACAGAATGAGTATGGCAAGCAGAGGACAGGGGTGAAATTCACCGTCCGCTCAGCTAACTCTCCCACATACAGTCTCTCTCGCAGCTCAGGTGTCAGGAAACGGGAGGGCATAGGAGAAGTTGCAGAAAGAGAACGATATAGGACACACACCAACACAAACGGTACAAATAAGGATGACGACACAGTCACTGGATGTGAAACCAGGACTAGGAGTGGCAGCAGTGTCAGCACAAACAGAACGATCCCAGAGTTTGGCACTGACAGAAGAGAAAACCCTGCATTTGAAAGCCAGGGAAGATCGGCGTGGAGGGGATCCAACCTTACAAGCAGAAGTAAGAGTTTAGATTTCAAAACAGGCGCTAGAACACCTGATCTCAATACCATAGCTGACTTTTCTCAGCTGTCCAACAACAATAGGGGGGACACCAGTAAATATGCTGGAGCTTTGGAGGGAAGGAGGACACAAATTGAAGGCAGCGTCATGGACAGGATTTCATCACTAAAGGCCTTTAATTCTGTAGCTGTAAGTAATCTTCAAGAGAGAAGCGAGCTTTTGGAAAGGAGCAGTAGGGGTAAGACTCTCCCTACCAGGTTAAGATCCCTGTCTGGATCTAACTCTAGGTACACAGAGACATCTGCTTCATTGGGGCCCAAAAGTGGCCAAAGTATAACGGAGCGGATAGAGAAACTCTTTGGACCTACTGGTTTTGGTAAAACGGATGACTGCAAAAATAGGGATTCCTCTAATAACTCTGAATCATCAACAGAATCCCTCATTTCACAGCAGCAAAAGCCTCATGAGAAGACAGCAGGGGGCACCTTCCCTATGAGTTTCTTCTCGAAGGACAGCGATAGTGCGGTGAAAAGTGGACTTTCACTCTGGACACAAAAAGATGCCAATGCCTCAGGGTTTGAGACTTCATTTTCATCTGGGGCAAGCATAACCAGAGATAGCTCACTAGGAGGGTGGATGCAGGGAAGGTATTCAGAGGAAAGTGGAGTTAATTGGGGCAAGGGTTTTATGGAAACAGGTACAAGGTCCCTGGATAGAGCCAGGAGTAGGTCCTGTATAGCTGCACAGATTAGATCTGCAAGGGCAAACGCACAGCCAAAAACTTTGTTAGAAGAGACACCAGATTCTTTCAGAGAGTCATCTGAATTCAGAGACAAAAGCAAAGACGAGAGCTCTGCAAACAACGGAGAGGAAAAGAGTGAAACTAATGTAATAAGTGGGATGTTGAGAGACAGGACTAGAAGTGTTGATGGACCAGATCAAATAACAGAATTGAAGGGTGGCAATGCTTATGAGGATGTATTTGAGACGAATCCACAGAAAACCAATGTGAAAACAGCAGAGAGAAAGAAGGCTCTGTCTGTCTCCTCAGCAGCCAGTGTTAGAAATAAGATCAACCAGTTTGAGGCTCTGACACAGCAAGCTCAGAGTTTTGCGACAGGCCAAGTCCAAATACCCAGACGTACCTTTTCTGTACCAGCACAAGTCAGCAGGGGACATGAAGGAGTGAAGAAGAGCGGGTCTGCAAAAGAAATAAATGAGCTAAGGAAAAAGTGGGCAGGACTCCAAGAAGAAGGGGAGGCTCAAGATAAAAGTGAAGACAAAATGATGGGAACAGTAAAGAAGGTTTGGCCTGACAGAAATTTATCAGTGGATGAAATTGGACTAAGAATAGAGAAGGAACAGACAGGACTAAATGACTTGGATCAGAAAAGAAAAACAGACTCTACTGATGATTTAAAATTTTCCGGACTCAAGACTACCCAAGAAATGCCTCATAAAAGTGACAGAGCTGTAAGTGGAAAGCTTGGCACAGACGAGACAGATTTCTTCAAAGCCTCAAGCCCTGAAGAGGCAAGTGAGAGAGACGTGACAGGCAGCAGTACACCAACCCCACTACCACCCTGTGACCCTTCACACAAGGAAAGGTCACACTCTGATATTACTTCACCAGTTAGTGATGATGAACAGACTCCAACAAACAGCCCTAGCTATTTACTGACTACTTCACCTGTGGCACAGCTGGGGGATGTCACTCCCACTGCCGACAGTGACAACAAAAGCCCTCCTGTCTTCACATGTCCAGCAAAAGATCCAGACTTTTCTCCTCGTCCTCTTCCTACATCTTCTGACAACAACCTTCAAGATGTCATCTCCCCAGACATCCAAACAACACCCCAGAAAGGCAAGAAACGGTTATTGGACCTGAATGCTTGGATAGCTGGTTTGAACCCAGATTTGAAAGTCTTTAGTGATGATGAGGATGTTGATGATGATGAAAGCACCCAAAAAGATGACGATTCAAACTATGATTCAGACTCAGGAGAGTCCTCGGTTACCATCACCAGCAATATGAGTCAGTCAGATCGCAGGAGCTTCTCTGTCACGTGCGTACCGTGCTTGTTTATTTCTGGTTTAATGGAGTTGCTCATTGAAGCAGATAATTAGTTTTACCCCTAAAACATTTTATTTTCCTTCTTGTAGTCTTTCGGACCTGTGTAACTTTGCTGGAGCTGACTACGATTCAGAGAATGACAGCGATGACTGGCAGTCAACAAACCAGCGTACCGCTTCAATGAGCTCAGATATGTCAGTGTTTTCCTGTGTGTCTGTGATGCCCGCTGAGGAGCTCGACAAGCTTGTAGAGGAAGTGAGGAACCTGGGGGATGATGCCCTGCAGGTAAAAACAGCATGAAGTTAAAAACCTTTTGAAAGGTTTTAATGATCAGTTGTTTGATATTTTTGTGGCTGTGGTTGTGGTGGTCAGTTCACTGGTCCAGTAACCTCCATCTAGATAAGACTTTCCCTAGGCACTTTACATGTAATGTTAATATTGCTACAGCTGTTGCAGCTGACCAGGTCATGTACCAACTGAATTGAGTTTAAAAAGGACAAAAAATTCAACTCTGAGCACCTGAGGCCCAATATACCAAGAACATTTTGTACATTTTGACATCCTTTTGTTTCCCTCAGGACTATGATGATGTGCAGGTAGTGGTTCTCCATAAAGACGTCGGAGTCGGACTAGGCTTCAGTTTGGCAGGAGGCGTGGACCAAAACAAGCCCATCACTGTGAGAAAATTCTACTTCCTGCTTCGACTTGGCAAATATTCAAATGTGTGTCTGCAGTATTTTTATTTTTTTTCTTTTTCTTCTTCTTTTGTCCTCTGCTCAGGTTCACAAAGTATTTCACTCAGGTGTTGCAGCCAAGCAAGGCTCTATAAAGGAAGGTGACCAGGTTTTATCCATCAATGGCACAGCACTATCTGGGAGTGCCCACTGGGAAGCCTTGAGGGTTTTAAGAAGGGCAAAGGCGAAGGATATGGTAGTTGTGGTGGTGAGGAGGGGGGGCATCATAGACAGCTCTAAGAAAGGAGAAGAGGGAAATAGTCGGGGACAAACACCGGAACAGTATGAGACAGGTCAGTATTAGAGGTACTGCTTTAACAAAGATCTGATAATGACGTTCCTAATCTTGAACTGAAAATGAGATACTTTATTTGTGTTTTCCCCTCCTCTTAGGTCAAACAGTATGTGTGCAACTACAGAAAAACAGCCGGGATCTGGGCTTCAGTCTGGAGGGAGGTGAAGGCTCCAGTCTGGGGAACAGACCACTCACCGTCCAGAAAATCTTCCAAGGTAAAAACCAAACCTCTGCCCAAAGTCATGCATGAAACTCTGCCCCAAGTCATGCATGTTAGGGCATGTTAGGGTTATTGGCCTTCAAAAATTGATCATAGATAGTTATCACTCTCTGTGGGTTAGACTGACTGGCAACCTGTGCAGGGTCTACCCCATCTCTTGCCTTGTGACAGGAGGGAGAAGGTCCAACTCCAGCAGAAGAAAAGCACTCACAATAGAGCATGACCATATATAGGGTTATATTGTTACACAATTTGACTGTTAAAACTTTGGCTGCTCATATCGGAATTAACTAACCAATTTACTGTATTTAAAGTCAAATTTATTTATTTTTTACCTTGGCTGTAGTGTAAGAAATGCAGTATTTACTCTTGACATGAGTTGTATATAATACAATAAATGAAAACAATACAGAAATACTCAAATACCTTAAAGTTATACAGTACTTGGTGATCTGATGTGGTGCATTATTTCTTCATAACTAAAGAAAACAGCATCATAAAGAACCATCTAAGATTCAGTTCTAAATATTATATGTTTACTATATGAACTATTATGGCAGCATAAAGTTAAAATTTGACATTAATGTAGATTTTCGGCTATTTATTTAATTCAGTTCATTTTTATTTATATAGGGCCAAATCACAATAACAGTCATCTTAAGATCCTTGTTATACATTGTAAGTTAAACATTTTACAATAATACAGAGAAACAGCAGACAATTATAGCAGACGTCCTTCTATGAGCAAGTACTTGGGGACAGCGGGAAAGAAAAACTTCCTTTTAACAGGAAGAAACCTCCAGCAGAACAGGTGTCAGGGAGAGGCAGATATCTGCCTGGTTGGGGATGATGGGAGGGAGCATGTTCCCATTCAGAGAAACCGTTACTGATTACTTGTTTTCCCTCTTTCCACCCTCAGGAGGTCCTGTTGACATGGTATATCCTGGTGATGAGGTCCTAGAAGTCCAAGGGACAAGCGTGGTGGGGATGAGGCGCTTAGAAGCCTGGACTTTGATCAGAGCACTTCCTCCTGGGCCTGTGGATGTGGTGCTACGTCGCTCCCATAAGCATCCAGAAACATGAAGATTAAGGAAGCAGTTTACTCCTTGTAAGATTAAGGGGATGGACCAAAAACATAAACGCTATCTATGAGAGACCGTATCTCCTTCAGTGGGCAAGAACTTGAAATCTGGACATGATATAGTTCAAAATGTGTTTATGTACAGGCAGTATAATAACTATAATATCCTAAAGAAAAAGAAAAATAAGCTTGGAGACCAGGTCAAGGGTGTATATTTTTCTTACATGCTCTTTTTTAACAGGATTACATCTACCTCAAGGCCTGGCAAACCTCTATATCAGCTGAATCATTGAGTAATTGTGGCTCCTACATGCACCAAATCAACCAACATTTGTATCAGATAGATTGATCAGTTCAAAACAGATCATTTGGTACCTGTAAGTGAAAAACGATGTTGTACTATACTGTTAATAGTTAATAACTTTTCCATTGAGACTTTATATTTGTTTTTAATAAAAGCTAACAAATTGATGTTTGTTATTATTACAACCAGCAGAGGGAGTAATTCGTCTTCATTTAGATCGGGGTTAAAGGTATCTTTCCTTTTAAACATTAATAAAAGTGAACACAAGATAATACCTCATTCCTATGTGTCTTTTACAGCCACCCATCACAAAGTCAAGGTTTCTGTTTTGGAGAGATTTCTCAGATAATTTGATAAGAAAAGGTTAACACGATAATCTCTCATGGCAGTTATATGTTTTATATCTGATCAAATCCTCATCCTATGTTACTGCCTTGAATACGTACCGCTCTGGATATTATCAGCAATAATACAGCAAATATTTAGCTTATATAATCTTCTGAGAGTCCAGAGTTCAGTGACACAGGTTACAGTGACATGCATCACAGCGATGATGAGAGGGGCTTCTATCGTCAACAATTTGTGCTTTTATTGTGGAAATCCGTGATAGAATAAGTTAATAGATTTGACAATCCAATCCCAATCCTGATAAATAACCATTTGACATATTTTGGAGACCGATTTTAGCTAACTGATAATGTTCCCTTTAACGATACTTGGTTTTCTTGTATATAAACACACTTAGAAACTTTCTTTAGCTGCATATAAACACGAAGCTTTCTTCTCCAAAAGAATATTCCTCATTACTTTACGTTCGTGCACAAAGCATATTTATATATTTTTTTGTTTGTTTTTAATTTTTATGGTATTTCTAAAGGTTAAAAGCCAAATTAAAGCAGTGCTTCAGTACACAGAAGCGACTTTTATCTGCTCCCTTATTCACGTGGAGTCGCCACGGACAGCTTCGCTTAATTTGGTCGCTTTATTCAGGTTGGATGCCTTTTTACCAACCCCCTAAGAGTCGAGCCTCGAGGAGCTTTCCTTTGTTAGGGAAATGCGTAAAACACTATTCACACACACACACACACACACATTTTATATACACACACTTTGTCATAAAACTATCTCGGTGGCTTCTTCCGAGTAGTCAACTGGTATCTGTATTAAGTAATATCTCTTGGCTTTATGGTGTCTGTTTATGTATCAGTCTTTACCAGCTGGGCCAATTACGCTCACTGCGCTGGCCAATCGTGAGGTGAGACGACCGAGTAAACGACTAGTGTTTGTCCAGCTGTGAATAGAGAGCTGTAGGTAGAGGGTAGGGGGGCTGTGGGATACAGAAGCACTCAGTTGCCACTGTGCTCAGCGGGGGGAGATAAGAGGAGGCCTTTCATTTCACTCCGGCTATGTTGAAGCTACGTGTAATGAGGGTGAGGTGTCCCCTCGTGCGAGAGTGCATGGCCGAATTTTTGGGAACTTTCGTCTTAATGGTGAGTGACTTTGAGTTGGATTGTAATTTTCAAAATCAAAAGGAGAAAATGAATCAATCAAACGGGGGTTTTAAAAAAAAAAAAATCAAAGCTGGAAAACAGTTTAGAGAAAGAAGAGTTGAAATGTGTATATGCATATCCCAAACCCTGGACAATTTTTCCAGATCCAGTCTAAGAATTTAATTTTCAGGTTTATTATTTTTTAATTTTCTAAATTTATGCGTAAAACGTGTAAGTAGCTTGAGTTTGATTTTATACCCTCACATTGACTAAATGTTTATGGAATCAAACAACTCAAGAAAAAAAATGAAACTACATAATAGCATCAGATTAAAATTGTTTTTGCCACTGTATCGGATGATTTGGGTTATTTTGCAGGCACAGGACCTGAGCACCTACAGTCAATGAGTAGATCACAAGGTCCTGTGTATACCAAAGTATTCTAGAGTCAAATGTGAGGCCACCTGCTCAACAGTTCAAGCAAATGGGCAATGATCCCAGCACAGCAGCAAATCTACAGCAGAATGACTGAAAATCAAAATGATCAACATGCTGCAATTTCAAGTCAAAGTGCAGACCTCAAGCTGTTGTGAGACCTTAAGAGAGCTGTGCATAAACAAATACCCACAAATCACAATGAGCTGAAGCAATATTTTAATGGCTGGGGGAAAAATCCTCCACAATGATGTGGGAGACTCATAAACTGATGACCAATAGTCATGGAAAATTATTACTTCAAGTTATTGCTGATAAAGCTGGCTCACACGCTACTGAAAGACTGGGAGCTTTCAGTTTTACACAGTACTGCAGAACCTGTTCTGTGAAAACTTGTCACATGACTTTACATGTATCACTAAAACTAAGGCTGAAACCAAGTGAAGGTAATTTTCTTAAAAATAAAATAAAAAAAATTGCTTCCTAGAATGGGATTTATAAGGTGTTCTCAGTCTTATCTCAAGCATGTTTGTTTTCTGTAAGAATCAAAGTCAGCTCTGCAAGACATAAATGAACTAATCTGAAAAATGTAGGCGTATGAAGTTAGATACATAAATTGACGTAATGCATTTAAAGAAAGCACAATCCATATGAGTTGAAATTAATAACCCTTAATTGTGCCACATGTCTAAAACAGCTTTCACCTGACTGCAGAATCTCTACTGAGATTTTATTGGGAACTTTGCCTGGAGTTAGAACAGATTACAATAATTTATGCTTGTATATCAAATATTAAAAAGATTAAAATTAAGAAAAAGATTAAAAAAATATTAAAAATAAGTTATATAGATTTTGCAGCTTACGCAATTATCTACATAAATCTTCTCATCTCAAGAACCAAGGAAACGAGCAGGGAAAATCATCACAGACCCCTCACACCCTGGACACAGACTTTTTTGATCTGCTGCCATCTGGCAGACGGTATAGAAGCCTGCAGACCAGGACCACCCGACATAGGAACAGTTTCTTTCCCCTCGCCATCTCCTCGCCATCTCCCTTCTAAACAGTTGACCTGTCACACTGCTCCCACTGCCAGACTGCAACTGCACCTTATGTACATTCTGTAGTATTCATTCCACCTCATTTCATTTCTGTATTTTATGTATATAAGTTTAGATTAGTTCTTTATAGCTGGTTTACACAGCTTTGTGTATGTATGTGTATGCATATATGTATATATGTATATGTATATGGGCCATCAGAGTCTAATCGGCAAATAGCATCATTGAATTCTGTAGATCAATAAATCATTTTCAATTCCTTCTAATGATTTCTCTCTATTGAATTAGGTTTGCTTGACCACCTAAAATTGGATGGATACCATCTCCAGAAAGACTGGAGAAGTATAAAGTTCACTGTTCAGATCAGGGGTCAGATTGGTTGAAACGTGTAATGTAACAACACAGCTTTGTTTATGGAGGGAATGGTGTTAAAAATAAATCTAAAGTCTTTGAGTCATCTTTATCTACACAAGATGTTCTCTGTGCTCACTGCATAATCCATTTGTGCTTTAAAAAGTGCAGAGTTATGAATTATTAATTAATCCAACAAAAATGGACATCATCAGTGTGATCCAAGTAAAAAATATTCACTATGTTGCCAAAAGTATTCCCTTGTCTGTCTTTACACTTATGAACTTGAGCGATATCCCATTCGTAATCTATGGGGTGCAATAAAACATCAGCCCACCTTTTGAAGCTATAACCGCTTCAGCTCTTCTGGGAAGGCTTTCCACAAGGTTTAGGAGTGTTTATGGGAATTTTTGACCATTCTTCCAAAAGCACATTTGTGAGGTCAGACATTGATGTTGGATGAAA